GCATCATGCAGGTGAATTGGTACAATCCGCAACGTTTGCTGGCATCACAGCTGGCTTCGTCAGTGAGAGGCACCATCCTCAGCACCGAGTTACAATTTGCCGGTGAAAATGTGCATTTTGACTCTTTACTTTGACGAGTTGCAGCTCGGTACTAAAGCTGGCGCCTCTTGCCGACGATGCAAACTGGGATGCCAGCGAAACTTTGTGGAAAGTACTAAGTAATTGGTCTGACTGATGATCTGATACTCAATCTTGCAGGATTGTGTGCATGCTCCAATGTCTTGTGTTATCTCAAACAAATTGAGAAAACTAAGTCAAACCAACTCTATAAAGCATGTACCTAGGGTCCCATCCGCTTGGTTCTCATATCTAGAATTAACATCTATGCATCTATGCATCTATGCTACAAAGACCTTTGCGAATATCATAGTTATGTTGTGAATGTGAAGACCAGGATGGAGAGGCCTTGTGTTTGGTCCCAATTTTCTTTAGCCTTATAGTGCTGGTTTGACTTTGTTTTCTCAACTTTATCGGAACGTCAGGGAGACCTTGTAGAACATACCTAATCTTGTGTCCTCTGCCATAGTTTTCGTTATTTTCAGGTTCGGATCATTGACTTTGTACACCCCCAAACGTTTCGCCGGCATCGTAGTCGACATCTTTAGTGAGAGGTGCTATCGTTAGCACAGAGTTACAATTTATCAAACCGACTTGTTATGGGTATCCAAATAGGAAAGAGTACTGATTGAAGTAGCGGCTGTAGCTGATGATGCTTGATCCTCAGTCTGTTCAGAAAGCTATAATCAGACAAGCGAATCTGCCTCATGACTGATAAGAGGATGTCTGATAGAAAGATCAGTTGAAGAGGAAGGTGGTGATATAGTATTGAAGATCGCATCGTGCTTTGCTTTAATGTGGGAGCATTGAAAAATACCAGAGTGAGATTTGCCAGAACCATTACTACTGGCCCTATCATTGACAGATGCGTAATAGGAAGAGGGAAACTGAGCTCTTTGGTTGGTTGATACATACATAGGAGATGCTGGGGTACCAGGGGTCGTTGACAGAGGATGAGTTGAAGATGCTCCCGAATACGGGACTTCGGAACCAAGAGCTAGAGACGGATTTCTTTCACCACCAGAACGAGATGGAATGTAAGATGTACGATTGGATGGGACAGGGGAAGCTATTTCACGAAATGTATAATTGAAGCCAATCTCCGATCCTGTATTGCTTAGAGCAGCGTGGCAAATTGATAAATGATAGTCACAAGGTGATGGGCTAAATAACAAGAACAAGCGAGACAGGCGCATGAAGACTATAAACTACTTGGTATTAAGTAAATAAAATAATAAAAAATAAATAATAGAAATAGATTCTAGAACAAAATATATGGGCGAGGAGTGCTGCTACAGCGGTTGAACAGAAAATTGGCCAAGGGGATTGTCTTCACTAGTCACTTTGCTAAGTTGTAAAT